TTATATTTTCATACTAATTATAAAAAGTAAAAAAAAAAAAAAACAGTATAAAAATTGACAAATCACGACAGCTAACAGCTGTTTTTTAAGTGACGTGATAGAGACGTGTCGTCATAATAAATACACCGAAAGAATATTGCGTATGTTTCCTCTCCTCTTTTATTTTCTACATAATTAATGTTTTAAAAACGTATTTTATATAATATCATTTAATTTCTTATTAAGTATCGCTTTTATATTTAAAAAAGAACAAGAAATAAAATAAGTTATCATTGATTTACGTAAGCTTAAAAAATGCAATTAATTATATTTTATCAGTGATTATTTATCGGATAATAATACAAAAAAAAAAGCTAGTAAGATTGTTTAGCATCCTCTATATCGAAAGTGTAAGGTGATCGTTAGATGTTTATGCGGAAATTTCATTAAATTTATTAATATATTAGTTCGATAGGAAGAGAAAATAAAGGAATAATAAACCATAGAAGTTGTAAGTGAGTCATGTAACATCTGCAACTGTAAAAAAACCGTTTCGGTGAATAAAAATGACAAGAAATGTGTTGAACAGGCTCTGAAAATATCAATTTAACTATCCGATTAGTATTAATTTTCTATGTATAAATACTTTAGAAAGAATGAGCTATATCTGGTTTTCGTCATATAAAAAGAAATAACGTATTAAATTATTTTAAAAATTCTAATTTAACTTCTACTCCAGCTAGTTAAGTAATAAAAACATTTAAAAAACTCCTTACAACTTTAGAGAATCAAGTGCAATTGATTCTTAATTGGAAACGAAGGACATGTTTTTTTTTCCTTTTAAAGTTTAGTCAATTGGTTATAAATTGTTATTCAAGGATTTACTGAAAAATTTTTGAAACCGTCACGTAATTTATTTATTGTCAAATTTTTTTTTTTTTTTGCATTTGTTTTGACGTCATTTTCGAACACATGTGAAGGTATATAAATAGAGAGTACACAGTTTGATACACCTGGAATAAAATCAATAATTATATACGCAAATATTTCTTAAAATCTCTTTAAAATGTGTTATTTTAAAACTACTTTCAGCAACGTTTACTTTCTCTCTCTCTCACTACGTGTTCTCCAATCAATAATTCGTTCGATCATGTATACTCGTACTACAACTTTAACCTTGGGGAACTATTAACGTAATCTATATAATGAAACAAAATAGTGAATTTTTTAAAATTTATATCTTAAGAAATATCATAAAGTCATTGACATTTTAAAGTTTTTAATGTTTTAGAACTTATTATTTAACTCTGTGTTACACACATACACACACAGGATGTAAATCTTATGTGTGTAACACATTATCTTAACTTTTGAGAGAAAAAAAAACTTAATTTTCATTTATAATAAAGTAAATTTAATATATTAAAATTACTTTATGATTTGTTAAATTTATATGATTGAAAATTAATATTTCTTTAAATATTTCATCCATTTTGCAAAGCTCTCTATAGAGATAAAATACAACCTTACTACAAAATAAAAAAATATTCTTAATAATTTACTTGAATATATGTAAAATGAATAGAAATAAATCATTTATTTGAATGAAAATATCGATCTGTAGTCGTAACTTGAGAATAGTCACTATACTAGAGAAATGAATAAAGGTTGTTGGGTCATCGTGACAATATTTCCTTCTTTCAAAACGTTTCGTGATGAGCAATTTTAGAATAAAACTATTTAAAATAAAAATTGTAAAGTATTGCAATAATTAGAATATTATGTAGTTTATACAGAAATGAACATTACGTTACAAAATTCACGTAGATATATAGAAAATTCATATAGAAAACTTCATACTTTAATAGATTAATTTTATTAATTCCACATTATGTATAGGCTATATATATATTATTATGATGTCATTTGTTATTTGAGGATTTTAAGGGTGAAAAATTGTAAGTATACTTTTATTTCTGAACGTACTGTAGAGGTTTGTCCCATGAGAAGGAATCAATTNTATAAATTAAATAAGAGTAATTTTAGCACGAAGTATTTATTAATTAATTTAAGACTAGATTGACGTATTTTTCATTCATTTTATTTACTCATAATACGTATATATTCTACATAGCTTCAAATTAGTTACAGTTTAATTGTTAATGCTACATTTAAAATTATTTTGTTTTAAGAAGAATTAAAATAAAATCAGTTTAAAATTTGAATTTAATTATATTTTAAAGCAGCATGTTATATTCTAATTTGATTGTTTAATTTTGTGATTTATGCGTTGTCATTTGATCAAAATGTCTCCATCATCATCATAATAATAATGTAAAGGAGTTAGATTACAATATCTTATTCTGTCATTGAAATGTTTAGTTTTTGATAAATAAGATTAAATGGTTTAATAAAGGAAAAAATAAAAAGAAAAACTGAAGATAAAAGATGGACTTTTAACTTTCTCTTGCATTTATTAAAGAAAAATTCGTAAATTACTTACAGAAAACATTTTGTCAAACACGCGAAACATAATCTGTTTCTTCATTGATGAACATAGCCAACAGTTTTATTTGGAATTTATCCCAGATGCTGCCAGTTCGAATTCCAAAATTTGTCACCAAGGACGTCGCCAAAATATTTAAATTAATGACATATCGATAACTTGGATAACATTTAATTGATAAGAGATAGAATCCTAAAACACTTAAACGTTAAAAAAAAAGCTAAAATATGGTATTAAAACTTCAAAAATACACACACACAAATCTGTTTTTTTTTTTTTAGTGTGCAATAAACGTGCTTAAAATAAAGTAAACAAATTTTTTATAATACGTTCATTTTCAGTTAAGAATTTAATTAAAGCAAAGATGTACTTACCAACATCTTTAGTTTGTTCCATGATTAGCAAATCCCAATTGCTTGTGAAATGTCTACAACATTACTGTCATCGTAAAGCAGCATACGCCCTCTGGATGATAACGCGCGATAAATGAATACACCACACACAAACACACTACTTTGTCACCAAGCCAACAAGTGTTTCTAGTGTGGATAAAAATATTTTATCATATAAGCAAACTGTTTTAAATCAGCGCGGATATATTTACTTCCATCAAAAATACTAATTATAAAAAGTAAAAAAAAAAAAAAAACAGTATAAAAATTGACAAATCACGACAGCTAACAGCTGTTTTTTAAGTGACGTGATAGAGACGTGTCGTCATAATAAATACACCGAAAGAATATTGCGTATGTTTCCTCTCCTCTTTTATTTTCTACATAATTAATGTTTTAAAAACGTATTTTATATAATATCATTTAATTTCTTATTAAGTATCGCTTTTATATTTAAAAAAGAACAAGAAATAAAATAAGTTATCATTGATTTACGTAAGCTTAAAAAATGCAATTAATTATATTTTATCAGTGATTATTTATCGGATAATAATACAAAAAAAAAAAAGCTAGTAAGATTGTTTAGCATCCTCTATATCGAAAGTGTAAGGTGATCGTTAGATGTTTATGCGGAAATTTCATTAAATTTATTAATATATTAGTTCGATAGGAAGAGAAAATAAAGGAATAATAAACCATAGAAGTTGTAAGTGAGTCATGTAACATCTGCAACTGTAAAAAAACCGTTTCGGTGAATAAAAATGACAAGAAATGTGTTGAACAGTCTCTGAAAATATCAATTTAACTATCCGATTAGTATTAATTTTCTATGTATAAATACTTTAGAAAGAATGAGCTATATCTGGTTTTCGTCATATAAAAAGAAATAACGTATTAAATTATTTTAAAAATTCTAATTTAACTTCTACTCCAGCTAGTTAAGTAATAAAAACATTTAAAAAACTCCTTACAACTTTAGAGAATCAAGTGCAATTGATTCTTAATTGGAAACGAAGGACATGTTTTTTTTTCCTTTTAAAGTTTAGTCAATTGGTTATAAATTGTTATTCAAGGATTTACTGAAAAATTTTTGAAACCGTCACGTAATTTATTTATTGTCAAATTTTTTTTTTTTTTTGCATTTGTTTTGACGTCATTTTCGAACACATGTGAAGGTATATAAATAGAGAGTACACAGTTTGATACACCTGGAATAAAATCAATAATTATATACGCAAATATTTCTTAAAATCTCTTTAAAATGTGTTATTTTAAAACTACTTTCAGCAACGTTTACTTTCTCTCTCTCTCACTACGTGTTCTCCAATCAATAATTCGTTCGATCATGTATACTCGTACTACAACTTTAACCTTGGGAAACTATTAACGTAATCTATATAATGAAACAAAATAGTGAATTTTTTAAAATTTATATCTTAAGAAATATCATAAAGTCATTGACATTTTAAAGTTTTTAATGTTTTAGAACTTATTATTTAACTCTGTGTTACACACATACACACACAGGATGTAAATCTTATGTGTGTAACACATTATCTTAACTTTTGAGAGAAAAAAAAACTTAATTTTCATTTATAATAAAGTAAATTTAATATATTAAAATTACTTTATGATTTGTTAAATTTATATGATTGAAAATTAATATTTCTTTAAATATTTCATCCATTTTGCAAAGCTCTCTATAGAGATAAAATACAACCTTACTACAAAATAAAAAAATATTCTTAATAATTTACTTGAATATATGTAAAATGAATAGAAATAAATCATTTATTTGAATGAAAATATCGATCTGTAGTCGTAACTTGAGAATAGTCACTATACTAGAGAAATGAATAAAGGTTGTTGGGTCATCGTGACAATATTTCCTTCTTTCAAAACGTTTCGTGATGAGCAATTTTAGAATAAAACTATTTAAAATAAAAATTGTAAAGTATTGCAATAATTAGAATATTATGTAGTTTATACAGAAATGAACATTACGTTACAAAATTCACGTAGATATATAGAAAATTCATATAGAAAACTTCATACTTTAATAGATTAATTTTATTAATTCCACATTATGTATAGGCTATATATATATTATTATGATGTCATTTGTTATTTGAGGATTTTAAGGGTGAAAAATTGTAAGTATACTTTTATTTCTGAACGTACTGTAGAGGTTTGTCCCATGAGAAGGAATCAATTAAAGTTATTTAAAAGTTGCTTGCTTACTTCTAGGAAATAATAATTATTATTACATATATTAGATATTAATATATCAATTTCAATATTTGAGGTAATAAATTAACATTTGTTAACTTTTTTTTTAAATTCTTATTGGCTCTCAATGTATAAAAGGGCACGAATTTTAATTGTTCCACAAGTTCAATAGTGTAGAAATGATCCATCTTGCGTGAATATCTTCTACAAGAAATATTTTTTAATATCCTTAATGAATTATTATTTTTATTTCGAATTTAGTTTTTATTTATCTCTATTAATTTAATAGTAATTACATAATAAATAATGAGTTTTATTTTTATTTTATGAAATTTTCTTAAAAGTATTAACAGATGTTCGTTGTTTAAACAGTCATTATATTTTCATTATAAATTGTAAATAAATTTAGTTTTAATTTGTAGAATTTTTCGTAAAAGTCTAAAAGTTTTTATAATTAATACATTTATTTATGTGTAGTGCATAGACGATTTCAATGACGAAATACACTCATTAGTATTGTATAAGTGTAGTTTTTGAAGATCTTTGAAGTCTCTTTGAAGCATAATTCAATTCAATTGAATTATGCAAATAATAGTAATGACGTTGTCGTTTGAATTGTGCGAGACAAAGAAAAAACAATTATGCGGTGATGAATAGAGAGAGGTGGCAAAACGGTGATTTGACATCTTGCCAAAAAAAGTGCGATAGAAGATGTACTGTGTTGCCTCACTTTATCATTCAAGAAAAACATTTTCTTATTTATTTGTCGAAACCGTGTCTTCTTCTTCTTCTTTTTTTTTGACACTTGACAAATAATTTTATCATCAACTTTTAATCCATATAGATACGCGTTTCGGGCTTTCGCCCCTCTTCAGTCTGTTACAGTGGCGTGCCGTCATCGGAAGCTGTGGATGCGCCGTTTCCCTTGTATTTTCTAAAAAATAAATACGTATTAATTTTAATTATATGAAAATAATCGCACAATATTTTATTATAACCGCATTACGTATCTTTATTTACAAATTTCTATACTAAACGTGAAAAGAAAGATAAGATCGCTATTGTATATTCGAATATTAGTGGCGGAGTGAAAGCGCTGTATCGTCGGTATCCAAAAAGCCAGATTCACTTTACAGAGCACCAACCTCACCTGGTTTAGCCGGTGGAAGCCTACGACCTCGGGTGGATGCTACACGTATACCTCATCCAATTCTATCCAGGACTGGTTCTGGGCTGTTAGCCACCCGCCCGTTAGATATTTGGCCGCCCTCGCCCGATTACGCGAATCGCGAGTAGATTTATAACTTAACCCAATCGATAAGAATTTACTGGTATGTTTTTAAGATAGTTCCGTATAGTTGACAGGAGTTTTAAAAAATCCATTAAAATATTTGATATTTTTATTCTCCTCTCCCATCTTATATTACTTACGGATTTCAATGTTAAACCAGTGATATTACGATTTCGTATGTCCCATGTTTAAGGGGATGTAGGAAAAAAAACGTGTACAATTCTTGTATAATGTTAAAAAATTAACTGTTACTTTGGTAGCATCGTTTACAACTAAATTTAATGAATGAGAGAGATTCACCGGGTACAGAAAAAGCTCTAGAATTTATTTTCCTTACATTTACGCTTTATGTATCCGTTGTCATAAAAAATTTCTTTCCACTTTTTTACCGAGACTACAAATATTCGAGTACAGAGTAATCGGTTTCGACTTATTTCTACTTAAGAAGTAGTTAAATAATTAAGAGATTAGGGAATTAGGGACATAAATAAAACCCTGCTGAAAGAGCCGGAATATTACTTCAAAGCTTAACCGACCCAATCTCTAGCCGAGTACAGCGGGGACTGATTTCTTCGTAATATTAGACGTAATATAAACAGAAATTTTTCCAGTTCAACGAGAGTGACCGAAAAGTTGTAAATTTTGGAAATTTCCGTGGACACCTGGTCCTAAAACGAATTAGTTAGAAAACAAACGACTATTAAGTTTAACATATTTAGATTTTTACAGTTATGGTGAGAAACGTTTAAAATTTATAACAACCCTGTCGAGTCCTTTGAGATATACTAGTGATGCGACAAAAGAGGCATTTGACATTAACCGCTATCGGTACCCTCGGGATTTGGCAGCCCGCGTGCATGCACGCACCGCTCACCAAGCAGGACCATCTCTAATTCCACTCGTAGGGAGCTATTTGACTAAGTGGCTAAGATTTAAAAAGTAAAGAAGATTTTATGTTATTTTTATATACGTTTCATTACAAAGCTATATTTAATTACGGTTAATAGTTATATTTAAATTAATAGATGTTATATGTTTTTATCAAAGCAAGAATCGGTATTTAAAGGGCATAGGGAATCTATTGAATCTAATAACAGAGGTAATTATATTGAACTTCATTAATAACTATTTATTAATTACGTCAAATAAATAATCTATTAAAAATACATTTAAAGAATTAACTGATCGCCCCTGGAAGTCGGCTTCCTACAGAAACACAGCTTCCCTATTATCAAATGTCACGGCACGCCATTGGTCTGTTACATAGATAGGTTGTATCTTGTGTACTGTACATCTGTCAGGCACTTTCCGCACTAAGTCTTCCCTCTCCCCTTCCCTTCCCTGCCGACTTAACGGCCTCCCCCGCATGCCTCGTAACGTTCAAACGTCTCATTCCCAGAGTGCCGCACATAGCCTCGCCTGCAACTGTATAAACATTCTATTTTAATAGTTGTAACCAATTTTTATGAATTTCAATGTCACGACTTGGTGAATTTATTGACACTTTTGGTGGTTCGCATGTGCAAGGTATTTTATAAACAACTTCAATAGTATTGTATTTATCTGGAAGGCTAAACCTGGCATAAATAAACAACCAGATAAATACAACACTACTGAAGTTGCTTATAAAAT